GACACTGTCCTCCTCAAGTCAGGCCCACGAAAGACCTCCACACCTTATGTGGCCAAGATCTCTGCCCTCTGGGAGAACCCCGAGTCAGGTACCTCTCCCTCTGGCTGGGGACCCAAGGGGCAGCTGTCTTCAGCAGAACTGTAGGCCCCAGATTGGCCCCTGCCTGGAGTTTGACCTGGCATGAGTCTCCTCGTGTTCCTGGCACAGAGTCTGCCTTCCACTCGGCTGGGGTCTGTCTGCTGCCGAGGGCTGTGGGTGACCTTGTGGCTTGGGTTGGATCAGCTCATTAACCTTTCCAGCCAGCAGAGCCTGGGCACCTGTCCCCCCACCTCACCTGTCAGTGCCTTCTCCCCCTTCTCCCTCCATGCCTAACAGCATTCCAGGCCTCTGAATGCTTGGCCTGGGGCAGGGGACATGGGTTGCCGGAGCCTGCAGGATTGGGCCAGGCATTGAGGTTGGATGAACCTCCAGGGCAACCAGCCAGCCTCTCTGCCTGAGTAACACAAGTTGCCAGTTCAAGCTGTAACCACTGTGTTGTCCCCCCAGGAGAGCTGATGATGAGCCTCCTGTGGTATTACAGACCTGAGCACTTACAGGGAGGCCGCAGTCCCAGCATGCACGAGGTGAGCTGCCCGGCAGATGGGTCAGGGAGGGCAGGAGAGACAGAGGGAAAGGTTATGGCACTAAGATGTGGTAGGGGGAGGGCAGCCATGGGCTGTAGTCAAATCCCTCGCTTGTCACTTGGACTCCAGAGAACCTGGGAAAGGACCCAGGATTTATTCTCTTTTCCCAGCACTGCCCCAATTCATGTTTCAAAGGGAATAATAACCTTTGTCTTAAAAAGGGGAACAGAAAGGGAACCCTTGAGGTAGCAGGTGCTAGTGAGAGCAAACGGATGTGTTCTCCTGGCAACAGGAAAGGTGAGGTGGAGCTGCATACCTGGTCACTTTCGGTATTGTCTATAGTATGGGAGGGAGGGGAGAAGAGACTCGTTCTAACACCCCATAGGCTCTCCACCAAGCCGTGTGCTGAAAGAGGTGACTGCCACCTGTGTGTGCCCTGGGCTCACCTTTTATTTCACTTTCCCTTGCAGGGACTTTTCATCTAACTAGAAAGATGAACATTTCCCCTCTCCTACGCTAGGCAGAGCTGGGGGTTGGGAGGTCAGTGAGTCAGGAGCTGGAGCAGATACCTGGCTATTCTGGAGAGGGAGGGGACCTAGAAGGGACTCAGGAGGAATACGTGGAGGCAGTAGGTGAGGCATACTTAGACTGAATTTCCAGGGAAGCTTCCTGGCTTGCTAGAGTCATCGCAGGTCAGCAGGCCAGCAGAGGGGTTAATGTACACCTTGCTCCTGGAATGAGGTGCTTTCCAGCCCTGGTAACAACCTCCACCTGTCTCCCTTTGAGCCCTTGCAGAATGAAGTCTTTGCATCGCGACATCAGGACCAGAACAGTGTGGCCTGCATTGAGGAGAAGTGCTATGTGCTGACTTTTGCCGAGTACTGCAGGTGGGTGGTTCCCTGCACCCTCTGGCTGGCCTCTTCCCTCAGGCTCCCCAGGCATATTTGGGGGCTGCTTGGAATTCCCCGAGAGGATCTCATTCTGCTCTCTACCTGATCTTACTCCCTGAGCCTAATCTCCCAGAACTTACTTCCTTATTGCCTGCCTCTACCATCTGATTCCTTTTTAGAAGAAAGAAAAATTGTTGCCACACTGAGGTAGAATGGTTGGAGCAGAGTTGGGGGGTAACATTACTGCTCTTGGAAAAAATTTTGGCGAATTGGTAGGCGAATGGAGGGAGGCCCTGGCAGGTGTGGTTCTCCAGTGACAGAGAAGATAGCCTGGTGGTTGGCAGAGCAGACATCACCCCTGGGATGGGTGGAGACAGCACCACCCCTTGGGGAGCTAGGATAGCCTAGCTGTCAGGGTAGAGTAGGGTAGGGTAGGGTAGGGAAGGAATTGGTCTTCTGCAAAAGTGACTGCAGTAAAGATAGTGGTATCTCTCTGCAGGTTCTGTGCCATGGCCAAGCGCCGAGGCGAAGGGCTTCCCAGCCGAAAGACAGCACTGGTTCCCCCCTCTGCAGACTACTCCACCCCACCCCACCGCACAGTGCCAGAGGACACGGACCCTGAGCTGGTGTTCCTTTGCCGCCATGTCTATGACTTCCGCCACGGGCGCATCCTTAAGAACCCCCAGTAGCCTCCTCATGCCCACGCTGGGGCTACCTGTGGGCAAGTGGGGCTCGGGGTAGGGGGCACTGCTTGAAGCACAGCACTTGGTTAGGGGGCCACAGAGGCCTAAGTTTGCTGGCCTGTGGTTTTCTTGGGTGGGGGGAGGGCAGGGGCCCCCGTGGGTTCTGGGCCCCAAGGGAGGGAGCTGGGGAGGCCAGGGTATAAGAAAAGCATCAGAGCTTTCAGCTTGGCCCAAGATACCTTCTGTGGTTCCCCTGGGTGGAGATTTCCGAAGAAGTAGTCTTCTCTGAGGCTGGGCCAAGCCTGAGGGGCATGGGGCCCTAGGAGGGTGGGGGTGGCAAGGAGGGGCAAGGTCCTTCAGGAACCAGACTCAACAGGCCCTTCTGTAGCCTCCTCCGGGCCCTCAAAGGGGGAGCGGGAGCCAGCTTTACCTCACCCACTGTGACCCGCCGCTTCCCCTTCAGCCTGGGACCAGGCTTTCCTAGATCCCAGCACAGCTCTGAGCTTGTTCCTTTGAGGCATGGAGAGCCAGAGTCTGGCTTCCAGAGCATTGACTTCCTCTTCTAGACTTGAGGCCTTTGTCTGGCTTTCCTCCTTTGCCCTGCAGTAGCAACTGGTGCTGGGACAAGTTGACCCACCCTTCACAGTCATGGGTGTGGCCCGCTTGAGGGAGTCTCCTGTCCACCTCCCAGAGAGGGCCACCCAGCAGGTCTGGCTTCCCAGAAAGTTAGCTGATGATTGTGGGGTTTGGCATGTCTGGGAGGGAAGATGGGTGCTGGGAGAGGGTTGGGGGCAGGGGGCAAGGAAAATTGCTACCTGATTTGTTGGAGATTTTTCCTCTTGCCTTACACATGGAGGTTCCAGTAAACCTCTTGCAGAACTTCACACATGATTTTTCAAGCCACACCCACCTGAAATCAAACCAAAGGAGTGCTGTGGCTCCCCTTGCCCTGCCACCTTTTCCCTAGTCTTTTGTAGATTGCACTAATTTACATCCCAGCGAGAATCAACACTGTATCAGTCCACAGACCTGCTGAGCTGCAGCCACTTACTCTAGGAGCTAAGGACCTGCATTTTCAGTTTGTTCCTGTTGCCCAGAGGCCCTGTTCTCACCTCATGCTGCTCCCCAGAGTAGACTAAGAGGCTCAGTCCCCTGTTGTCCTTGTGGAGACTAGGCCTTGGCCCTGGCCCTGAGACTCTGTGAGGGGGCTGGAGCAGCCTGGCTATTTCCTATTTGTACCAAAGAGGAGCATGGTGGGAGAGGGAGTGGAGTGCAGTGTGGCTTGGGCGTGGCGCTGGGAACCTGCTAGCTGAGCACTTCCACAAGGGCATACTCCCAGGGGCAGGGGCCAGGGCTGAGAACTGCAGCCCTGGGTCTTCCCTTAGGGAGGAGGGGCAGACGAACCCAGCAGGCTGAGGAGGTGGCACTGGGTGAGGACAGTTGGGCAGGGGCTGCAGAGGGAGGTAGAAATGAACCCTGAGGGCTCCCCCGACATGCCCTGCCCTGTCCCTTAGTAGATGAGTTGCTCCTGATTGGTCATTGGGTTTGGGTGAGGCCTGGAGGCTTCAGAGGTGAATTTATGCTTGGGAAGCCTGATCCCAAACCTGAAGGGAAGGGACTTGGGTCTCCTTGAATTGAATAAGCTGTTTGGAGGAAGGTGTCCGTCTGGGAGGATGGGGCAGTAAATGAGGTTGGCAGAGTGGCAGTGGGGGCTCTGCAGAGCCAGGCTTGGAGCCTGCTCATTCTGAGCCCTTGCTGCCAAGGAGCCCAGCCTCACCTAGCAGGAAAGGAGATCACAGCCCTCCTCCCAGGAGGTAGGGTCTGCTGCCCTGAACTTAAATGCTTTTGAAATCTCTTAGATGTGGAAATATTTTTTCGAACCTGAAAATGCAGCTGGTAGAATTTCAATGGAAGCATAATCCATGTAAAATATATTTTAGTTGATATTTTGTAAAATGCACTTTTTGTGTGTGTTGATCCTGGTTTCCCAGATCTGTATTTCAGTGTTTACAAGGGAGGAAGGACCTTTCCTCACCTCCCTTTTGACAGAGATTAGAAGTACTTCTTTAAGAAAAAAATAAATTTGAGAAATTGTATTGATTTAGAAAAGGATCATTTCCTGTGTGTCCTTTTGTCTTTTGATGTGTGGGTGTGGAAAGACTCACTATTCTTATTTCAGAGGTCCCTCTTTAACCCCTGTGGCATGGGTGCTCACTGAGGCCAGTGAGCAAAGAGGGCAGGGAAGCAGGGGGAAAAGAGTGAGGGGAGGAGACAGAGGGACTGGGAACTTGGAGGTGACTTCTTGATTTCATGGTGGCCACAGCTGCCTGCTTAGGTCTGTGCAAAATACTTCGGTTGCCAGCCCTCACCTGGCCAGTGACTTGGAAATTGGTCCCCAAGTAGGTACATGGTAAAGATACCTTCTCTCACGAAGTGGCTCCTGCCTGTAATCCCAGTGCTTTGGGAGGCAGAGGCGGGAGGGTTATTTGAGCCTAGGAGTTTAAGACCAGCCTAGGCAACATAGCCTATGTCTCTCCAAAAATTTTAAAATTAGCCAGGCCTGTCAGTGCATTCCTGTAGTCTCAGTCGGGAGGCAAAGGTAGGAGGATTGCTTGAGCCCAAGAGCCCGAGGCTGCAGTGAGCCATGATCACACCACTGCAGCCTCGGTGACAGAGTGAGATACTGTCTCGGAAAAAAAAAAAGATCCCTCCTCATCACCTTGGGGAACTGGCCAGCACTGTACTGGGGCCTCGGTGTCTTGCAGCTGGTGCTGCTTGCTTGCTGAGGAAATAAAGGCCACATCATGGGGCCAAAGGTTTGTGGCCCGCTGACCCCTGCTTCAGCCCAGCCCTGGTCCCAGTCTGGAAGCTTCAGTGTTGACCATGTTCCAGGTGGGCCAGCTCTAAGGCCATAGAGGTTCCTGGGGGCCACGGCACACAGCACACCCCGCGCCCTCTTCTGCGTTTTGCTAAGGCATGGTGCGTGTGGGCAGGAACATTTCTTCAGAAGTTATTGGTGGCACAGACACCACCATGCATTTTTCTGGTTCTGCCTTCAGTGTGTTATCCACAAGACTCCCTTGAGGTGAGTGGTAGCCTGTCCTCATCTTACAGACAAAGTGGTATGAAGATAAGTTTCAGGCCCAAGGACTCCCACTGCCTCACCCTGACTGCTAACACGGAAAACTACCCTCTAACGTTAAAGAAGGGAGCACATGTAGCCACATTATCAAAAAATTTTAAAGGTCTAAGGTCTTTTTTTCCTCTCCTGGTTTAAAAGACATACTTACTGGAAAATATGATTTTAATAGAAAATCCTATCACCAGAAATGTATACCTTTAGAACTATTGGAAGCAAGGAGCAGCGTAGTCAAGGCAAAACCTTCACATGAACTTCTGATGCAGCAAATGGACAGGTGGTAGCCTGCAGATGCACCGGGGCAATCGGATGTGGAGAGCCTGCCCTGGAGAGATGGAAGGCTGCAAGGCTTTGCCATTCCTTCCCCTGGCTCATCCTGTGTGCTTTCCTATTGCTGGGATTGGGGGGCCATCAGTGAGCCCTCCGGTGTCACCTCATCCCTCAAGTCCCCTCATTCTTCTGAATTCATCTGATCACTGGTAGCTCCATTCTCCCAGTAGTATCTTCTGTTTTCCATCACCTGCTCTGTACAGTCTGCCCTCAAGTCAGCTGCTTCCTCCCTTCGAGCCATTCCGTGATATGCCCCATTAATCTCTCAAGGGCCGCGACTAGGAATTTAGATTTTAGAATCAGAACCACCCATATTGAGTCTCATCTTCCCTGAGCCTCTCTTCAGCTATACAAAGGGAATGCCCACACTAGCTCCCTGCCAGGGTGGCTGTAACAACTAAAGGAGATAATGAATACAAAACACTTAGCGGCCACTGCCCGAAGTACACTTGGGCTCTAATCTTATTGCTCTGCTGCTTCAGAGCCTTGCTGACTCTCCACAGGCAGCAAGAACGTAGCTGGACGAAGTCAGGCTACTGAGCCGGGTTCCCAGTGGGAAATGGTGGTTGCTGACATCCAAAGCACTTGGGGTCTGCTGTCTGCCCAAGTGACCAGCCTGGTGCCATGGAGCACACATTTAGCTCCAGACATGGAGACTGCGTGTTGTTTCCCAGCTGTTCTGTGCCCTCAGCTCCTCACCCTTCCAAATGTGTGTTGGCCACACCAGCAGCTGACAGACCAACGCCATCAGCCCCTCCCCAGAGTGCCCAGTTATCCCACTGCCTCATGCCTGGTGAGGAGAAGATAAAGGAGGGGAGATGCCATTTCCAGACGTTTCAGCATTACCCAGTGGACAAGCACTGTAGTCAGTCCCCAGGTATTGCTAAACACAAGGGTCACCATGGAGACACTGGTCAATGTCTGACAGTCCTGCTCTTTCCTGGAGTGGCCACGACCTGCGGGACGGAGGGAGGTAAGGGTGGCAAGGGGGAGCACACCGAGGACTCTGCTTCCAGCTGGAAAGACCAGCCTCCGGCATGTCTGGACTCGGAGAGAGCGCTGCGGGCCTCCCTGCCTCCAGACCGGTTGCTGGAGGAAGGGCTAGGGCAGGCCTGAGTTTGTGGTGGATCCCCCTGGTCCAGCTCCCTGTAGACACACGCTGCACGAGAGCGGCCTCGAGTCTTTCCTGCCTTCGAAGTCTCAGCAGCTTTTGTCCCCAAGCCCAGAGGACAGGGGTGGCCCTGACTCAGGCGCCCTCTTCCGGGTAGGGGTCTGCGTGCGCCCTCCCCA